CTAATATTCCAAACTGATTTTTATATTTATGAGAATTTTTAATCTTGTTCATGAAAATTTTCTCTAATATTTTTTAATAATTTCATATTAAATATGTTTACAAGTATCCTGTTCAAAGAGAAATTTATTATATTTTAATGGATGCCATTTTATGATGGGAGAAAATTTTTTCTTTTTTTCTTCCTTTTTTTATCTGCTAGAATAACTTTTGAAACCATCCTGTCTCATTTGGTAGTTTATATTCTTAGTTTATTAATAATTTCTTAGTTTATCTTTAAACTTAGATTTTAAGAAATGGGAAGATATATATATTTATGATATTATGTTGTTCTAATTATGAGAAACTCTAATAAAATGGCTTCTCTCTAAAAATGTGCTAACTATTGAGAGAGGATACAGTAAAAGTTCATCAGAGTAAATGAGATTTGTAAAGGTGAGATGAAATTTGTTTTAACCCTCTGACCAGCACAGAGTTTTGCTAAGAACTTCCAAATTTCCCAAAACTGCTTCGAAAAAGAGGTATTTTCACGATTTTAGTGTCAAAATACTCTCAGTACTTTGTATCTAGATTTATATACTTTTAATATATTGCTTTCATGTCTCAGACATATTTCAAAATGCACATGTGTATACTTTTTTAAAGAAATTACAAAAAATATTCTAGGCCATTAAGACATGGCATTGTCTGTCAGTGGCTTAAAAACCGGAATTAGAAATCGGAAACTAAGTTATTAGTTCTCAAAATAATTTTAAAGTTTTATGTGGCAATAATCACATTATTAGAAAGTAATAAATACAGTCAAAAGTCGTTAATCCGGACTCGTCGGGACTTCGGCGATTCCGGATTATCGATTTTTCCGGATTATAGATCATCAGTTTAAATCTCGTAAGATGGCATGCAGAAATTCTAAAATTAAAAATATGAAACCGTAATTTATGAAATAAAGAACAATTATGATCTAAAGGGTATCAAAATTTGCAAAAAGAAAAAGCTTCATATTTATTTGTTTACTTTATTAAACATTTCTTTCAATGTAAGTTGTTTAAGTTTTTGCTTCGTTTCATGTGATAATACTTTCTCTTTAATTCTATAAACAGACATAATTTCTTGTTCAGTTACAAAGTTACGCTGTTCAAGTCCTATAATTGCTGTGTCGAGAACACCGACTAATTTGTCAATCGAAATTTTTTTCGTTTTCAATAACCTCTGTTACTTTCTTCACTATCAAAAGCGAATTATAATGACGGGGAACTTGTTTTTAAATCATATCAAAGACAGGAGGTACATCGAGATGAAATACTACATTTAGGTAAGGAATTAATAAGCCAAATAAAATTAAAACATCTGCCCTGAAGATAAGGATAGTTATGAAAACTTCCATGTAGCTGGCCCCTGACAGATCAACTTCCAACTTATTACGCGCGCCCCACAGCGACTGATCCCCCCCCGCCACAGAGCAGCGTGAAATTGATAAACAGATTTCGGATTTCAAAACAAACTTTCGCTTTGTAGATCCTTTACATATTTGTAAATATATATCGGAAATTCTATTTGATATAATCGAAAGTTTAAGCTTACTTTTATAAAATTGCTCTTACAGTCTGCAAAAAATAATAAGCCGGATCCAATTCGAAAATTAAGGAACAACGCAATCATCAACATTAACTGAAATAGATAATTAGACAATTTTAGCTTATACGTCCATTATAATAAAACGTGCACGCGAAAACGTGTTCTGCACTTGCGCACACTCATATGCGCAGTCGTAAAGGGTCTTACGCGCACGCGTAAACGCCTATGCGCATGTGTCAGCGCGGCGCATGCGCAGAAAGTTTTTTGTTTTGTGGTCCGGATTATAGATCATTCCGAATTTATGGGTGTCCGAATTAATGACTTTTGACTGTACTGTTATTAATACTAAATATCTCTTTAGACTTTAACAGCAAAAAAATAACAAGGGAATTATTTTAGACAATTATCTGTTCATAATAGTGTATTGGCTGAGTGAAGAAAGATTAGAGAGATATTTGCTTATGCATTGTACTCTAATTGAAGTAATTCACTTGTAAATTAATTAAGTAATTATGAACAATGGATGCTTGACCATTATATACATATCAGTAATGAAGAAAGCAAGTCAAATTACCTAATGTGTTGCAAGAAGTAGCTGTATTTAAAATGATTAAAATAATAAATTTTAAAAATATAAAAGGTGTTCTGCATATGTTTGTTCAGGTTACATATTGAATAATCATATAGCAGAACTTATTACAGTGGACTTTTTGATGTCTTAATAGTTATATAATGATCATAATACCTCATAAGTTTCGTAAATGTTCTTGAGATTTATTAAATGATAGAATGCAAACAATAGTCCTTTTAATTAACCCATTAGCCGCTGGTGTTGCGTTGACGCAACGGTCAAAATAAATGTGTATCTAAATATAACTACCTAAGATATTTTATACCCCAAGATGATTTTGTGTAGTAGGTTTGAATATTATGAAGATTATTTCTGTAAACAATATTTGCCTTCAACAATCATTTTGTTTATAATAATTAATCTCATACTTTAAGCAAAATTTTCGACCGGGTATTTTTGCTGAAAATATTTAACGAAAGAATCGCTGTCTTTATGAGTGATCTATTCTTAGTCAAGGTCACCATTTATCAGAACATTACATCAGTCAGATGTTTATATTTGTGTTGGGAAGGAATGGAAAACAGATGTTGCGTTGACGCAACGTCAGCAGGAAACGGGTAGTCAATCTCTTTTTTCACTCATTCCTTTCGATGTTCGGGTTCATGTTCTGGTTGTTTAAAAATGCCTAGACCGAGGTATCTTACATTAGAAGAAGCCCTTCAAAGATTTTTTAATGAAGAAACAAATGATGATAATGTTAATAATGACCAGAATGAAACTGATATTGTTGTTGTTTCCCCAGAAATTGCAGAGGCTGGTGACGAAGAAGAAAGGAATGGCAATGTTTTAAATAATGATAATGATATTTTACCAAATGATACTGCTGAGGAAGTTGAAATTTACGTAAGAAGTACTTTTTCAGCCTTCTAAAAGCAGTGGTAGTCCATACTAAAAAAGTTTAAAAAGCAGAAGAACTGAAAACTTGAAGTGTATAAAAAAGGAACTGTCAGTTATTATCTCAGGAAAGAACAATGAAGAAAGAGATAGAAGAGAAACTATAAAAGACAAAAGGTAAAACTAGTGCACAGATTTTTGATTTTCTTTTTGGTTTAGATATTTATGACATTTACTCTCTTCTCGTTGAACAGACAAATATGTACGCTCAGCAAAAAAAAAAAAGGCCCAGAATTTATTGCATCTGAAGCCTATATCAGAAGATTTATTGGAATATTATTGCTTACAGGATATCATTCTTTACCTCAAGGAAAAAATGTATTGGTCTTTTGATAAGGACATTTCTGTTCCTGTTGTACGAGAATGGATATCACGTTTGCAGTGCAGGAATATAAAGCAGAATTTGCATTTGACAATAGTCAAATTGACAAAACTCATAAATTATATGAGGTGAAATTATCTAAACCTTACTAAATATCACCACTTTTTACTACTGGAAATATAAAGCCTCTTTTGGATTTCAGACACGAGATTGTATTATTCCTTTTGCAAACACCTATTAAGAGTGTAGAATTAGCCAGAAATAGATCAGCATCAGGAAGACCTAGGAAATTCAGCATTCAAAAACCATTGCAGGGAGCTGGTAGACATTTTATCGTAAAGTCCATTGATAACAAAAGACTTTGTTGTAAAGAATACCATAGCCAGACTGTTTATAGATGCAAAGTATGTTATGTAGCTTCACATCATGATTGTAATCAAGCTTTTCATGCTTGAATCTTTCAAATGAAATAATCTGTATTTGTAAAAGAAATACAATGTATATTTTAATATTCAATTAATTACAAGTAAAGTGATTTGTAGATTTATAAAATGGTATACAGGTAAAAAGTAATCCTGCGCTCCCCTCAAAAGAAACATCACATGAGTACAACCTACTCACTAAACATCCGTGGTCTTATTCCGCTGACGTTGCATGAATGCAACACTCGCTTTTTCCACAAGTAAGAGCATTTTTCTTTTAATTTTCAATGTAAATTTATGTTATAAATGCTTAATTTAATGTTTTATTATTTTCATGAGAAAGAAACATTCCTTGTAGTTTTGTCAGTTAATGGGTTAAGACATATTTCAAAATAGTCCTTTTGTTGATTTTTCCATAGTCGGGGACTTGATGTAATATTTTATCAACATTATTATAAGAGCACTTTTTCAGAAGTTTTAAAATTTTTTCTTGTCATATTGATGAAGCAAATAAAAAATAGATCTAAATCTAAATTCAGCTGAAATGAAGATAAAAGGAATCTATATTTTTGGTGTTTTGTGAGTGTATTAGAATTGAGAAAGAAATTAAGTGAATCCCGTTATCTCTTTTTGTAAGCTGTAACGTATTCAGATTGTGAAAAACAAAAGAAACAAATGTTGTTTTGTGAAAAACAAATTCACAAATGTTGTTTTGTGAATTGCAGTCGTTTTTAACCTTTCTTACATAATAAAATGGTATCATATCTCCTCTTTCTGTAATGCATTCATTAGTTGTTTATTCATTGTATGTTATGTGCTATTAAACTAATTAAAAGGAAAAGGGTAATGTATTATTAATAATTTTCTCAGAGAACAAACCAGATATTTTCTTTTAGTTTTGACATTTGTAATAGTAAAGATTATTTTACAATCATACAAGAATTAAGACATAAAATGTACTTGAATTTATAAGTAACATTGCTGTTATGTTCCCTTTTTATGCTTCTAAAAATTATTTTGCGTACTACCTCAGTTATTGTGCATCTTAGATGGAACAAATAATTTTATTCTAGTTTTTAAGTAAGGAAATGGGGTTGACTTTTTTTTTTTCAATTGGTTATTCATTAATTAAACATTTGTACTTCTCCTGCTTTTTAGATAGATAATCAGTTGATGGATAATGTATTTCCAGTAGTTTTAGCTCCAGTACCACCTCCAAAATCTGTTGCTGCAGAAACAGGTATGTGCTTGCAGTTCTTTTTATTTATTTAAATTTTACTATATATTACTCCAATATATTATTATATTTATTCATATTAGTTTCCCCATCTACAAGATTTAAAGCTAAGAAGAGAGGTGAATTAAATTGATAGTAAAAATCTTAGACAAAAATAGGTCATAGGCCAATAGGTTTGCATCAAATATTGGAATAATTTGTTAAGGTTGCTGGATTATATCACAGGTGATGGATTATTTTCTGATATTTACATGTACCTCTTTACAGTTGATATATTATGCTGCTAAAATTTGTAATGTTTTATTACAGATTAATAGATTACAAATTAATAAAATAATATTCTATTTTTATTAATCTTTTAAGATATTTGCTCATTTGTTTATGGCAATTTGCTTTCTGGACTATACTCTGCCTTGTATTTATAAATTACTATGAAAGTGTCATTATATTCACATCTTCAGAAGAGGTTTTCATAAATCATATATTATCCTTTCGTGCTTGCATTCAAATTGCTTATAATTCATAAATTAAATTATCTTGACACTTGGTTTGGTTAATTTCATGAAATATTACTTAATGTTAAAAACTAAAGGTAAATTCATGACGTGGTCGAAAATATTGCTGACACTGGAAACAACCAGGGGGCACTTAATGACATTATGACATTTTCAAACCTTGTTTTTCTTAATGTAGATTCCTACTCCTATTTAAAACTTCTGTCATTTATGTGTTTTGATAACATAGGCAAATTTTTATTTATTTTTATTAAAGTAAATCTTAAAGTCACCTCACCAGAATTAGCACTCGACTAGGTGATGTATTAAAACAACTACTCAGACCTAGCGTCTTTAAACGTAAAAAAGTAGTAACTGAGAGTGCACAGAATTCTAGTAAATACCTCATTAATTTTTTCTGAACATGCACTTATTCTGCTACATAAATAACTGAACTATATATAAAAAATAATATCGAAATTATCTGTGAAACAATTATATGCTTTTTTTATACCTAAAAATTCTGAAAAGTTTATATATATATATATAATGTTTTCTGTCTTCCTTTCTCCCCTATGCTATGAAATAAAACTAGATTACTTGCAATTTTAATAAAAGTACAGTTATATCTGAGGCCATACTCTTTATGGAAGCACTCATTGCTGAGCTAAAGGTCCTTGCTGAGGCCAGAATGATATTCAAATGTCAGTACTGAGAATATTCCTCAAATTTAATAGGAAAATGTACAGTTATCTTTATATATTGCTATGCAGGTTTTCTCTATGTAAGTTGCCGTCCTCTGGTCTAAAAAGTTCTTCTTGGGAGGCCATTGATTGATGTATTTGACATGTATTTCTTCACTAGTCCTCTAGGCAGGTCGTTCCTTGGCCTTTGCTGATCTTTTTGATTCTTGGGTTGTGCCTGGTGTTTGACCTGATCTGTCAATCTCCTCTTTTCAGTATTCATTCTAGATTGTTCATCCGAAGCATATTTGTTGTTTTCTGTAAAATTTGATCTGTGTTTAGAAAATTCATCATGAGATAGTCATATTCTGTGTCAATGCTATGAAGATTAATGTTTATTTATTATAACAATGGCAAATATTATGAAGTACCAAGGGGAAGAAGAGTTGAACCATGCCGAATATGTGGTAATACTATCTCTGCACTGATTGAATCCATCAGTGCATAAATAAAGTGATAGACATCTGTGGAAGCTCATCTAAAATATTTCCACCTTCAAATGATAAATTTTACACAGTTCATGCTATTTGTTATATTATATCATAAACTCATGAGATGGATTGTACCATTTCAGAAATAGAGTCAAAATGTAGATTTTCCCAGATGACCATTTCAAGAGTGCATCTTAAGTACAAGAATTCTGGCAAAGCTCTGAGCTTGAAAACATGTGGCCATAAAAGGACTCTGGATGCACTTCTAAAAATGCAGGACCCAAAGCTCACCTGGGCTTAGAAATTTGGATACTAGGTACTTGCTGACTAGAAATGAATAACCTGGTCTGACCAGTCATACTTCCAATAGTGTTAGGCTGGTGAAAACCTCATGATCCATGGATTATACATGCCATCAGATTTTACTCAATATAGTGGTTCCCTTTTGTCAATAGACTGTATTCAGTTTGGTGGGTCCTTGGTGTTATGGTCTTAAACGAGCTAGCATTCAGTGGGACTCGGTAAACATCTATAAATGCTTTTGACAGATGAACTCTTGCACAACCTTTCTAATGACTCCACTGCACAGCCTTTCTAATGCTGAGTATGAATGAGACTCCAGTGGCCTTTTTTAACAGAACCCTATTCACATAGATATGTCTACGAATACCAATATTTATGGCCGAAATTATTATCGATACAAGCCAACTCCCCTCAGAAAGTCCTTCATGTAGGCATTCTTTCTTATAGACAGATTGTCATTTTGTGCTTAGCTTTAATCAAATAATTTAATCTAACAACAAAATTATAAATTGCTTTGCAGAAACTATGGTGTTTACTGTTTATAGAATATTCCTCAATATTTACAGTCTAAGTTTCAGCAGTTCTATGCTTCCATGAAGGACCTACTAAGTATTTCATAGATGTACCAATTTGTTTTCCCTCCCCTTATCCTCTATGTATATTGGTTTTATAGTGTGAATAAATCAAAATAGATTCTGTTCATCTGTATTAGAGAAGTGTTAAATTATGCAAATAATCAGAAAACCTCAATAGACAACATATTTTTGCTAAGCCTTTTTTCAATTTTTATTACCATTTGCATTCAGGAAAATCTAATGGTTCACAAATATATATTATATATTTGTGAACCATTAGATATAGATTAGGTGTAATTAGAACAATATTATAATATAATATTGGTTTGATTACTATGCTTTAAAAGGCCCAATTTAATTAATGAGAAAAGCAAATTTGATAATCTTCAGAAAAGTAAAATGAATTTAACAATTTTCAGAAAATTTTTTTGCTAATCAGTTGTTATGTAAAATGAATTTATGCTTGTTTTAGTGTAAAGTAATGAAGTGATAAAACTATTATGTTGACCACTTCTAAAAGTGATTAACATTTCTGAGAGCATATTTAAAAAATGATGCTAAGCATCATTTATAATCATAAATATAAGCATCATTACTATACTAAGCTAGCTATGCTAGCATACTAAGCATCATTTATAATCATTAGCATAAATTCATATTTTCTGAATTATCTGGAAGTGTAAGTGGTCATCCTAAGTTTCATTATATTTGCATACATAGTAATTTCTTCCACATTATTATAAATAAATAGCAATCCAAAAGTTCCTGATTTTTAAGGTCAATGTTTTACCCCTTTACAGCACCTAAGCCATTTACTGAACTTAGTGTGATGCTTCGTAAAGCTGAACATAGTGCTGTTCCCCAGTTTAAGTAAGTAAATTGGTTGTTATATCCTTTTCTCTGTATTATTTTGCTTTAATGTAACTTTATAATAAAAAATTAATCTGTTTTTATTTCCTCTTAGGTATTGTAAAATGCTGATACAAGAATTCCATGTAAAACTTGATCAAGGTTTTATAAATTCTATACTTTTATTTTTTACTGCTGATCAACCTCCTGAAATAGATCATGTAAGTACCCATATTTATGTGATCATGTAAATTAAAAATTCTCAAATTTTGAAAGGAAAATTTCATATTTAGGAATGATTGTACAGGTGGTTTATTTACATGATTGTTTAACACATTGAGCACCATGCATATTTCTTAGGCAATCCTGTTCAGGCCATGTGTGCCACTTAAAAGCGCTGGTATTATAGATGATACTTATCACAGTAGAAGATCGTTTAAGTTTGGAACATGATTCCTATAGGCATTCATTCAACACGTTATGCACCAAATCTGTTTTGCTTTCTTTATCATTTGGCCAACTAGATAAGATTTTATCAAAATGGATTTGTGGCCAGTGTTCCCTTTACAACAAACCAGTTCACTGCAGTTCTTGGCCCTGTGCAGACAAAAATTTTCTTTAGCCCTGAGCGTCAAAATTTCAGTCCGAGAGTGTGAAAGTGATAGCAGCAGTGAAATTATTCTTGTTAGGAAATGGCCCAGAATAGATGTATTTTTGCCATCTTCTGATGAGGAGGAAGGGATTGTTGGAGAATGTTGGCCTTAAACGGAAAGTCTAGTGTCAGCCACAGATGGCTGACGTGACGCTCAATACATTGAGCTCAATACATTAAGTCAAACATAGTGTTTTGTAATGTACAAATTTAAAGTGATTAACCTTTTGTAGACGGATGGCCAATATATTGGCAGTTGTATTCCCTGTTTGAATGGACAGGGTTGTCCACTTTATTGGCGTCTTTTTCCCCCATTTTACAGGCTGAAAAGTGGGGTGAAATGTCAAATTTGACGTCCCTGGGTTTTCAACCACTTATCTCTTTCAAAGATCTCCCTTTTGCGACATAGATGCACCCCTCTGAGAATCCATTAAACTACACAAGAATCTTTGTTGCAAATAGGAGGTGATTTCTTAACGAGGGGAAAGCATTCGGTTCAAGATTTCCCGTCTTTCGGTAGCTTTTACTGCTACCAGAGCCCCGGCCTCAAAAGGTTAAAGGAATAAAACTTCATTGTATTTTCAGTATGTTTTTCTAGGGAGGAAACAAAATAGTCTTAATTAAGTTCCACAAATGTTGAAAAAATCGAAAACTCAAATCTTTGATTTTTTTCATAATTTGATTTTTGACATCAACAGCATTCTTAAATGTACTCTTCTTTAAATGCAGTTTTTAAAAAAGTATTTTTCCTTGTAATTATTCTTATATGAAGGATGTGAGAGATCAAGGACCTTTTAGGACTAAGATTGAAGCAAATTTAAGATTCACTTCAAGTTTTTACCTCAAACCTCTTTTATCTTTTCAATTTCAGCAAGCTGTTAATAAATTAAATAAATAAATAATCTTCTGTGGAAGTATTTTATTATTTTATATATGCCTACTTTCGTGGTTTCTTAACTTTTTTGTCCCATGCATCCCTTTTACCATTGCTGAGCAACCATTCCTCCCACCCTTTCCAAAACTCTAAAAATACACATTTTTTTTAAATTTAGATTATTTTTTAATGTGTTTTATAAGCTAAAATGGAAACAGTATAAAAAATGTGGATAGACACCAAAATTTGAGCGAAAATAGTTTTTTAGATTCATAAACTAAAACTATATCAGGTAAATAAAAGGCTGACCGCATTCTCCCCCTAAAACTATGAAATCATGCCTGATTGTGAACTCCTGGTCTGATCTCTGTAACAGCTATATTGTCAGAAATAGTTTGTGATACTGTGCTTTTAATGATGAATCATTTCTTTTTTTTTTTTTTTTTTTTTTTTTTTTTTTTTTTTTTTTTTAGATGAAAATAATGGCTTTAGATAAAGAGGTAGCAAGTTCTTCTCTGAAAGATTTAGCAGCTGTTTATTCATCTCAAGAAAAAGTGAACTATTTTGATAATTTACATTTCTCACCTTTAAAGGTATTATGTTCATTTATAGTATTTAACATTTTATTTTTCCATTGAAGTTCAGTCAGAAATGAAAATTTGGTTCTTTTTCCTTTAGGTGCATATTAGCTTTTCTATGACTGGTGGAAATCAAGAAGATAATAAACCTACACCAATACATTCTGACTTTTTAAATTTACTTCTTCAGAGTGTTGGTGTTACACTTACTGAAATTCAAGATGTCATTTTTAAGTATGATAATTTTATTATTTAATAATTTAAGCATTGGAATAGTTTTTCAATTTTTAATTTTCACTAATTAATGATTGTTATATTTTAATTATAATTATATTTTAATACTATAATTATGCTTTAATACTACATTATATTTTAATACTATAATTATATTCTAATGTACAGAAGCTACAAGTAATACTTTTACAATTGCAATCCAGATAAATGAAACTTTTAGATTTCTTCTCTGTATCAGAAAAATTAAAGAAAATAATGTTGTAAGCAACTATAAAAATCCTTTTCATAATTTTGTTATAAATTTAGGTTGGACTACTTTGAGAAGCGATATGTATTCATGTCACAAAAGCAACTTATTTCTGAAGTAACTAGTCATTATGTTGGACAAGTAAGTTGAAAAAAGTTAAATTTATGCAAAGCTTATTTTTTCACCACTGCTTTTTTACTTCCTTGTACGAAGTAAAAAGAAAGTATTGTAATCGCGAAAAGTTTCAGGCAGCATATTTCAACGAAAATATCCATTTTGACCGCTATCGAATGCAATTTAACGTTGTTTTTGCGTGATATCTGTACGTAAGGACAGAATAAAATACTTTTTTCCTTCAAAAAAATTATAAAACTGCTTTAAAATAAATTCTGAAGAGAATTTTTCGTGGCGTCTGTATGTACGTATCTCGCATAACTCAAAAACGAGTAGCCTCAGAACGTTGAAATTTTGTATATAGGACTGCTATAACATGTAGATGTGCACCTCGTATTTTGATTGCAATCGGATGACCAAACGTATATAAATATATTTATATATATATCCACTCTGTTACCCAGCTCAGTGATCTCAGTTTCTTTACTCTTATATGTTGGCAAATTGTACATTTTTTGCTTTAAAAATGATTGAATTATGTTGTTTTTATCTTCCGGTTAAGGATTTTATGCCTTTAGTAAATCTGTGTGCAATATTTTTAGAATTATCAGCAATTTTAAAGTTGTTTAATTGCCGCTAAGCCTTTTTTAATGGCGGCCATTGATGTTTACATTTGAAACAGGAGACTAGTGGATTTGTTGCCAATCTAGAGAAACTTAGCTTCACAACAACAAAGATAACGCCTTCATTTATTATTTAAATCATGCTTAATCCTTTCTGGAATTTTTTCGAGGAAATAAGCGTTTAAGATTTACTTCATAATTTTTTAATATAGATATTGAGTTTTTATGTATTTTTGTCTTCTTGAGAAGTGAGAACTGAATTAATTAAATGAGAAATACTCAATCGTCTGTGAAAAACTGTTTCTCTTTTGTTTTGTTTGCTTAATTTCTTTTATACATCATTCTAGCTTTATTATAGTATTTGAATAGAACATGTGGCAACAATTAGATAATTCTGTTCTTTAAATGATATAAATTTTCTGCATTATGAGTTATAATATGAACGAAATATAATACTGAAGTAGAGTCATCACTTTTGCGCAACACAAAAGTGAGAATTTTAGCTGATTTTCGAGTTTTAATAAGTCAAATTGTTTTTATCATACATATATGAAATTTTCAGTGTGTCATCTTTATACATAGATGATTATCTTTATTTATTTATTTTACTTAATAGTGTATAAGAATTTGTTTTATAAAGAAAAAACTAATTGTATTTTCCGAAAATTTAAAATTTGTACTGAAGCACTGCGCGCAAACTGACAGTAATACAAATTTAGTTACAGTAATAATTTTTAAGTGAATCTAGCGCCAGAGTGTCGCTATGGTAAACAAATACTAGAGTGAATTTTAAAGAAGGCATTTATTCTATTGTGGTTTATGCACTGTCGGTGAAGTAGATTTAATTCAATCCAATAAGTTTAAATGAATTGCAAGAAAAATGCATATAATTTAATATGCCGTACAAGGAAGTCATGTGGTGTACACATCAGATTTTTTTCATAACATAACTCGAACATTCAATAATATGAATAAAATAATGTTGTCTAATGCTCATTTATGTAAATGTTAGCTTGTGCTTAGTATTTATATTTTTAGTATTTGTGCTGTGATAACTTTTTAAAATGTATTTTTTCACAACTTATTCTTTTCATATTTTTATAATGAGAAAAAATGTGATTAGATTTAGTTGTAGTTTTGCTTGTATATTTCAATTAAAAACCAACTTCTTTTTTGTGTGTGTTTGGTTGTTGTTGTTAAGTTAGAAATTTTAGAATTCATTTTTTTATTATTTTGACTTTTCTGTGCAATGATACATTTTGGCTTGAGATTAAGAAAAAAATATTTGAAGTAAAATATTGAGATTGGGAATATTGTGTGTACTAGCACTATAAAAAAATATCCACCAAGAAGGAGTTATCCGAATGGGACGAAAATCTATAGATGTGATGTATATATACCGAAAAACAAATGATTACAAGTTTGGAAAAATTAGACAACTTATTCAAGAGAAAGAGCTTCACAAACTGAACAAGTCTATAACACGTTGGTTTACATCTGGCTATTATGCAAGCAGCAGCAAGTTATTCAGCTTGGCATTCATTGTTAAAGTTGGCAGATGTACACTGCTCAAACAAAAATTAAAAAAAAAAAAAAAAAAAAAAGGGACAGTGCTATATCTTCTGTTCTACTGGGCCGATTGACAAAATTCAAACTGCGTTTTTCATGTCTCAAAAGCACGACTTAGGATATATATTAGATTTATATATAGCACTATTCTAGCATAGGTATTTTGTCACAAAATCGGGCTTTTTCTGAAATAACATATCAATATTTTTCCATATTTCGATTCTACGACTCAAATTATGCCAGAATACCAAGTTTTGTAAAAATCGTACTAGTAGTTTTTAAAGTATTAGCTTTCAAAATTTTAGCTCCTCAATGTTAATTGAATTTGGTAAATATTTGTTAATATCTCTTTTTTTATTAAACTTTTATTATTTTTCCTTTCACATTTAGAAATTTAGGTTCATTCCAAATAAAATTTACCTATTTTTTGTGTGTTATTTTTTAAATTTCTATTTTTAAATAATTTTTATAATTTTTTCGAAAACAATTTTGAATTATAACCTATAAAATTTTTACCATCATCTTAAAGTAGGTGTATTTTTAAGCATATCTGCAAAAAATTAGACTTTTTTTATTCAAAATTTTCTAAGATATACACGAATTTACATATTTTCGCGTTTTGAAATTTGGCATCTATTTTTTGAGCGATAATAACGCCACATGTGGTTTATGGATTTTTGTTACAGTGAATTGCCACAGCTATTTTTAACCTTAAACTTCAAATAAAATTTTATGGAGAATTAATTATATGAAATTTTTTCCCTCAATGATGCGTAATAAATATTTATTAATACTATATGAAAAGCTATTTTTTTAAATTATGGATGATATTATTCAAATTTATAACTATTTTTTTAAATTTCTCTCTTTCTTCCTTTTTTAAAAAAAAGTAAGAGTAAATTTTTACCTTTGGCGTTTTATCATCTGCTACTTTACTTCGTTTAAATCGAATCGTCTAAAACTGACAGAGTTGCCAACTCTCCCGATTTTCGACCGCTCTCCCGCCAACCCGATTTACAATTTATTTCTCCCGACTTTTTCTTATTCTTAATATTTCTCACGATTTTTATGGAACTTGGCTTCATACTTCGTTATATGAACAAAAGAAAAAGTGATTTTGGACATCTGAAAGCAACTGAATTTTCTCTAGATTATATCTAAAATGAAACCTTGCGAATCAGATGAGAATTTCTGCTTTGTGATTGACAGCATGCGTATCCAGAAACGTCGTTCTCCAGTTGTCCAATGGGCATCGAGCTCCACTGCGTGTCATCTGGCATATATTAGCCAATGAGCACAAAGCAAGCTCAAGGCCGTTGGGCATTCTTTGGATGTTCTTTCGCTATTTCGTTCATCTTGTCCTGAGTTGTGTGAGTACACATGCCTTTAGGAAATAGTTTTAGAAATTATCGTCTTTTGATATGTCTGCGAGAAAGGTGAAATACTCGTGCACATTTCAAAAATTGTACACAGTTGACTTTCCTTCCATTATTTCTTCAAGGAAATGTAATAAATTTGCGATGTGTACCATCTGCCGTTGCGATTTTTCGATTTCGCATGGTGGAAGGGCAGATGTTCTCAAACATGTGCGTACACAAAAACACAAGGACAACATGAGTTGTTTTGAAAAAAACGAAAAATTAAATTTTTCTTCGGAAACAAAAGACCAAAAAGTGATTAATGCAGAATGTCTGTTCTCTGCTTTTTTACTGGAGCACAACCTGCCACTGAATGCATTGGATCACGCTGCAGCTTTATTTAGAAAAATGTTTCCCGATAGTGAAATCACTAAGAAATACTCAAGTGCAAGGACCAAAACAGGTGCAATTGTTAAAGAAATGGGTTTGAAAAATAAATCTTCAGTTATTGATTGCATTAAAACAGCTCCGTTCTGCCTCTCTACGGATGGAAGCAATAATACCAATTCAAAACTGTATCCAATTGTTGTTTCTTTCTTTAATCCAGAGTCTTCAGAAATTAAGTGCGGTTTACTTTCTGTCCCCACTTTAGACGGACATTCGACAGGCTTTAATATAGCACAGCTAATTATTAAAACTTTAAAATAAAATGCAGTCCCTCTGGATAATTGCTTAGCGCTTGGTGCCGATAATGCACCAATAATGGTAGGCTTGAAGACTGGTGTTGCAGGCATCTTAAGAAAGGCAAATTCAGATTTGCAGATTATGAGGTGCACCTGTCACCTCTTAAATTTAGCAGCTGAAGAAGGGGCAGATTCTTTACCATTAAATGTGGATGAACACATTGTTGATTTTTTGTAATTTCTGCATCATTCAGCAATTCAACTGGCAGTTCTCAAAATAATACTGCAAAATATAAGCATAAAGCTGATACAAATTTCTCTCAAAATAATAAAAAAAAAAAATTGCTCAACACACGAAACATTTTCCGATTACTGTAAGTTTATCTTGTGATGAACGAATATTTATGTTTTTTTCTTCGGACCTTAACAAAGCTTTTTGCTTTTTTTTAAAAAAATTCATTTTGCCATCATTCGATGTTCTGAACACAATTATACAAAGCAGAATTCCATTAATTCATGTTTTGCAATCAATGATTTATGATCTGTTTAAAGACATTTTATCAAAGTTTGTAAAACCAGTCTGTGTTTTGTCTTGTAATTCTATATATGATGTGATTTATGGTGAAACAGAAAATCAGAAGGAAGATGAAGATTTGGTAATAGGAGCTGCAACTACAAAAGTAGTGGAAGAACTTTCAGAAGAAGACAAAAATAAGTTTTATCTTCATGTTAGAAGTTACTTCTGTCGAGTATGTGATTACACACTACATAAATTTCCAGTCAACGATGAAGTG